CAGACAAGGGGAGGGCAAGCTCCACAGCTCCCCCCTCCTGTCCCCCTGACACTACAGTCACTGGTAGAAAGGTAAGAAAGGTTTATTGACTGCACACAAACACAATTACGCGTAGTACCGGGACAAACAATGACAGACGAGAACAAATCGCGTCAGCTACTTATCGGCACTCCCCTCCCACGGATGACAAGTTTCTCTTTCCGCAAAGCTCAGCAAAGTCACGCGTCCCCGATCGGCATCATCTGAGAGGCGATGGCAAGGACCCTGGCGTTCTGTCCTCAGGCTCCTCGAGATCCACGGGCCCACCGATCCAGGCCGATGCCTAACTCATCCTTTTGACGGAGCCGTCTCTTCCTTCGCAACGCTGACCGGACGTTTTGGCCCATTTCTAACTTCTGAGCCGGGCCGATAAGCGACAACCACGCAGCCTCATTTTACCTCGACTGTCCATAGGCTGACTGATAGCAACAGGGGCCTTGCATGCCTTTGCTACGGTTAACTGTACCTACGCCGCGGGGCCTGGCTACTTCCAGCCTTTGCTACGTTTACTGGGCCTGACTTTATATGAGACCCCACTACAACTTACCTTGTAATTAGGCTCTTAGCAACACCGTCTAGCATCACATCTCAACAAACGACAGGAAAACACTCGGTCCCCTCTTCCCAGAGCCTGCAGCAAGCATCTTGATCGTGCAGACAGCCTTTCAGCTGTCACACCCCCCGTGTCCCCAGCGCCACAGGGCAGCAGGCCAGACCCAGGGACAAAGGTCCCCGGCAACCGGCTGCCTGGAAAGAGCTCTCCTGACTCGGCACAGACCCCACAAGCCCGCCACCCCCGACAGCCCACGCCAGCCCCCTGGCCCCCGCGCCTCTCCCATGCCCACCCATGGACCCTGCCCACGTGACGGAGCCGCCCCCGCCACCTTTCGCCCTGGACAAGTTCCACATCTCCCAGGAATACGGCTTTCTGCTCCCCGATCCACAGGTAGGCCCCCAGCCCTCCCTCCCAGGCACAGGCAGCCTCAGGGGGCGCCTCCAGGGCCTCGCCACCACCCGGGCACAGGGCTGGCAGCCTGCGGTCACTGCAGCCAACGAGCTCCAGGGCACGCAGAGCTCCCCCCAGGACTACAGCCCCAGAAGCCCCCCGAGCCAGGGGCCATGGAGACCACCCCTGACCTGCCAACACAGGACACACGCCGCGCACCCCAAGCCCGGCCCCGGCAAAGGCCTCGGCTCCCCTTGGCCCTGCCGGGTGCACCTCCCTAGGCTCCCTGCGTCTCCCTGGCCTCCCGCCGCCAGCCCCGCTCCAGCTCCCGAGCCAGGCACGCAGCCGCTTTGGCCACGAGCCCCCGGCCCTCCCAGTCGCAGGGAAGCCCTGCCCACAGCCAGCTCTAGGGAGCGCGCTGTGGGGCAGGCCCAGCCACAGCCCAGCTCCGCTGGGGGCCCAGTCACCAACTTGGTCTGCTCCTCCCCGCCCTGCCGGCCCTCGCACCCCGCCGCTCTGCCAGCACCCGCTCCAGCTGGCCACCCCCACTCCCGTCCTGCTGCTTCTCTCCGCAGACAGAGCTGCCCACTCCCTACGGACCCTGGATGGACCTTGCCCGCAGCTTGCCTCACCTCATCGCCACCCGGCAGCTCCGCGCCCACGTTCACCAGGTGCTGCCTCTCTCCTGCCACACCAACACCGGCCACCCACGGCAGAGGCCGCAACATCCTGCCGGCTCCTGGCACGCGTAGCCATGGAGCCAGGCACCCGCACCCTTCCCACTTGCCTCCCACCAGACCTCTCCCACAGGCCGCCCGGGGCCGCCACCTCTCCCCCGGCTGCCCAGCCCAGCGAACCCACACAGTGCAAGTCCAGGCTGCTCTCCCGGCAGGAGCCACATCACCCCTGGCACTCCTGCCAGGGGCCAGCAACCTTCGCCGTGGCTCTGGCGAGAGTGGCCCAGGTGCTCCCGCACCTTCAGCTGGCAGACGCCAACACACAGGCATACCCGACACCTCTCCCCCTGATGCCACGGCCCGCAGCACCCCAGGGAACGCCAGCCAGGTCTCTGTTTGGCCCGCTTGGCCATCATGGCCGGGGGGTGGTTTGACCAGCCTCTCTTTAGCAGGCGCCGCAGCTCAGCGCCGCACAGCTCCACGGGCACCGTGACCTGCGCCTGGCCCACCTGGTGCTCAGCTTCATCACGGCAGGCTATGTGTGGCAGGACGGTGAGGAGGGCCCGGCCAAGGTGAGTGCGGCTCGCTGTGGGCCACACATGGGCCCGGGCCCAGAGCGGGCTTCAGCGCTGGGACACGGCGCGTCGTGGCCCTCCGGCTGGCCCCCCTCTCCCCAAGCCGGCTCTCTCACAGGTGCTGCCACAAAACCTTGCCGTGCCCTACTGGGAAGTCTCGCGGCGCCTCGGCCTCCCGCCGATCCTCCTGCACGCCGACCTCGTGCTCGCCAACTGGAGGCGAAGGGATCGGGCCGGGTAAGGTGGCACGGGGCCCCCGAGAGATCTCTCTGCTCACGCGCCCTTCACCTAACCGCCTTGTCTTTCCCTTTCCTGCCTCGCGACGCCGGACCCCCGCCAGGCCCCTGGAGCTCGGGTAAGCAGCCGAGACGCCTCCCACAGTCCTTGCGGTGGGCAGCCTCTCGGGGAGGGGCCCCGCCTCCCCTGGCCTGCTTTTGGGGGCCCAGTCCCCAACACAAGAGCTCGGGTCCCCACCAGCCTCGCATGTGCTCCTAGCAGGACAGGGACTGGGGCAAGGGGCCCTGCCACCCCACATGCACCTCCAGACACAGAGCAGACCAGAGCGGGACCGCCGCCCCAAGGAGCGCAGCCCAGCCTCACGGCCTTTCTCTACCTTCTCCCCACTCAGGAACCTGGACCCCATCGTGTGGCTGCCGGGAGGAGAGAGCCTGAGGGGCTTCGTTCTCGTCACCGTGCTGGTGGAGAAGGCAGCCGTGCCTGGGCTGCAGGTACCGTTGGGCCCGCGCCGGGTCCGAAGCACAGGACATGGCCCCTCGGCCCGGTCCAGCCCTGGCCGTCGCTGCGCCCCAGCCCTCCCCCTAGCAAAGCAGCTCCCCCTGCCCTTCCCCTCTGCCCCCCAGAGGGGAAGGGCAGGGGGAAGAGTCAGTCGGAGCCCTGTCGGCCCCCCACCATCGTGCAGAGCCTAGGAGCCATCGCAGACAACGAGGGCCAGCAGAGACTTTGTGTAGCCAGGCAGTACAAACCGCCCAGGTCAGAGATGCCACCAGCTCTCGGGGCAACTTGTCCCGATGCTTCGCCGTCCTCCTTGCGAGACCGTCATCTCGCTAACATCTCACCTCGACCTCCCTCGCCGCAACACGAGCCAGTCGCTCCCAGGCCTCTTGCCCACCGCCGCAAGCACACAGCCCCACTCCCTCCTCTTTCTGACGCCCCTTCGGAGACTTAGTTGCGGGCTGCTACTACAGCTCCTGCCAGCGAGTCTCCTCTTGTCCCCCACTACGTGGGCCCAGTTCCCTCAGCCTCTCCCTGCAAGGCAGGTCCCTCAGCCCCGCAAGCCATTCCTACTGCCCCCCGCTGGACTCTCCGCTTTGCCCCCAGCCTTCCTGTAGCGGGGCTGGAGTGGGGTGGGGGACCCAAAACTGCCTCCTGGACTCAGGAGGTGCCCTCGGGAGCCCCAAATTGCAGGGAAGAATTGCTTCCCTAGACGGGCTGGCCACGCTCCTACCGATGCGGCCCGGGATGCCGTGAGCCTTCTCGGCGACTAGGCCCAGCCGCCAACTCCTAGTTGGCTCCCGGGCCGCCGTCGCCCCCGGGTCCTTTCCCGCAGAGCGGCCGCCCGGGCAGTCGGTTCCCAGCCTGCCCCGGCGACCAGGCCGGAGGGCTCCAGCCTGCGGTCAGGGACGCCATGATGCCCCGCTCTCCTGACTTCTCTCCTGCAGGCCATCGTGGAGGCGGCCCCTGCCATCTGGCAGCCCGACAGGGAGACCCTGCTGCGAGCCCTGGCACAGTTGGCGACGGCCCTCGGGGCTATGACCGAGGCCCTGAGGCTGATGCACGGTGAGGACGGGCTCCCCTCATGCCTCCATCCCCATGGCGGGCCTTGCCAATGGGGTGCCGCCAGGCAGGTCCCCACCGGGCCCGGCTGTGGCCTGCAGCACCACACCCCCGGCCCCAACCATCTCTGCCTTGCCCCTGCTCTCCTAGATCACGTGGATCCAGACATCTTCTACACCGCAATCCGCCTCTTCCTCTCCGGGTGAGTGCCCGTACGGGCCACGTGTCTGCTGGGCCGCTGTCCACGGGCACACGGGGGCGCGGAGGGGCTGCCCCGGCAGGGGGTGGCCAAGAG